TATGAATATGAAGAATAAACCAAATTTGGCTATGAACAAAAACATGCGGTTGGTCGTCGAGTGACATGCATGCCTCTAACGGATTAAAGGACACGGTGTGTATCAACACCGAACCGCATCTGATAAAAGCGTAGCTTACAATGGAAGAAACCAAACGCATATCACATACAGGAATACACACCTACAAGCCCAAAGAAACCGATAACCTTGCAATGTTCCATTATGGCCATCACCTACATGTGGTTCTTCTTCGCCCCATTCCTGTCCCCTTCCAGTCCTTTCCCGCTCCATACGGTCAATTTTCTTTCTTATCGCGACCCTTGCGTTAGGTTCAGTTGCTTTCGCCTACCTTTCGTTTCTTTCGCCTTCTTTCGGCTGCTTTCCGTCTCGGTCAAATGGTTTCTGGCATTTTGCGTCAAATTCGAGCCGCCTCTTTTTTACTCCGTTCCTTTCAGCATGTCTTCCGCTACGCTCCGTCACTTTCGTAATCCTACCCTTCCTTTCGCTTCTGCTCCTCACCGTCACGTTCCGTTTGTTCCGGGACTTTGCCATCAGGGTCCGTTCGTTCGCATCCCATCCGATAGGTTCCATAGCTTTAGCCTCCCTTCCGTTTCGTTCGTTTTTTTTCACCTGCTTTCTGTCTCGATCCATTCGTTTGTGGTATTTTCCGTCAAATTCGATACGCCTGTTCGACTGCGTTCCTTTCGCCTCCATTCCATGACCTTTCGTTCTTTTGTGTTATTTACCGTCATGGTCGATTGGTCTCTTTTGGACTGCGTTCCTTTCGACTGAATATCTTTCGGCTCTCCGGCCCCGGCCGTTTCGAGTGCCTTTCTTGAGGTTCCATTACGTTCTGAGCTCGACCATTGGGTTCGGTTCTGTTCGCGTCCACACTCCGTTAATTTCGGATTCCTTCCATTGCGTTCCTTTCGCGTCCCTTCGTTAGGTTGCGTTATTTTCGGCTGCCTTCCGTTACTTTCAGCTCCATTCCGTTCCATTCACACTTTCTTTATGTTGCATTCACTTTCGTCATGTTCCGTTTATTTTGCCTAATTTTCGTCAAGTTGAGCTACTTTCTGATCCGTTCGTTCATGCTCCGGCTGTTTTGTCTCCGTTTCATCCTGTTCCTTCCAACTGCTTTCCATTTCGTTTTGTTCCTTTCAGGCCAACGATAAAAGCGTTTCAACACATGTTGATAACTACGGGTTTTTGGCATGGCTTCGCTGCCGTTTTAAGTTTGCTGCACATGCTGGGCGAAGAACAGCATCGAAAGAAGTTTTCGTTCTACTTTCGTCGATGTAAAAATTTCAACCATCAGTCTACATTTTTCTTGATCAGAGGTATGCCAGAGACAATCCCGGCCACTGTGACGCGAAGCAGATCGAAAAATGAAGCGACATCTGAAACCTAATCCACTCAGCAATGCAAATTAAAACCTAGTCCACCTGTGTATTTTCTTTTCCTTTCAGCTCTTCTACCGAATAGTTAGTCTTGATACTCCGAAGATTTTTAAAATACAAATGCTGAAAACAGCCACAATTTATTACGCAGCTCTGAGTCACATCTAATACACGTTCAGGACCTATAGTCCCTGCGTATCGGCAAACTAATGACCACCGTTCATAGCAGTAAGCCTGCAAAATTCCGGCAAAAAGCTACTTTTCTTGCTAAAATAGTTAATTGGATCCTTCTGCGAAATGAAGTTGAGTGAAGAACGGTCTGACGTTGACGAATGATGAGTCAGCAAATGATGAACACGCAGCCCAGATAAGGTGTCATTTTGAAAGCCATTGTCCCAGCGTAGTAGCAAGTATGCGCAAATGGAGGCCAGTGCATCGACGCAAGGGATTTTACTATGTATAAACTACAAGCACCGCTTCTACTATGGTTCCATGTCAGAAGTGGGTATAATCCGTCTGAGAACGTGATCTATATGGATATCATAAACAAAACTTACTAATTAAAAACGGACTTACATTTAAATGTCACACGTCGTTCATTAATGTTAACTCCCGATTCGCCCGGTTGGTGAAAACAGTCTCTGCAAGATGAGATCATGTTTTTTCATTGCTTCTTGCCGTCTATTTTCCCTACTTTTTCACTACTGCCAGCCGCGTTTGCAGCGGAACTGAAACAGAGAATAACAAAAAGTATACGACGGGGTAGCTGAACCGCCGGATGTTCCAAAACTCCTGATATCCACCGTACCTGTCATGAAAATAGCTGCCATTTGTGCCATGGTAAACCGTCGACGCTAGAGAAAGAGACTCGAGTGTGGTGATACTCTGTGAGTTGTGCTGCAGGTCATGCAGATAGGATGCATAAACTGAAACTGTCGCTTACGTAAAGCAAACAAAGCCCAAAACTTGTGAAGCACTCCACGACATAAATACATACGCAGAAGCCGCAAAGAAACTAGTCACTTGACAGCGAGGTCTTGCGTAATAGCCATGTTCCATTATTGTGATCAGTAGGAAAGGGGCTGTAACCTGGCAGAATACGCCTTTAGCATGGAAGGACGATAGAAAAACAACCTACCTTGCAACTTGGTTCGAGGATAAACATTGTCCGTCATATGTTGGTACGGCACCACATTTCCCTCGTCCGACGGGATCTGGTCGTTCTGTTCCTTTGGCTTCCTTTCTCCTCCGTCGCTTCCGTCTACATTCCGTTCCTTTCGTCTGCTTTCTCCTCCGCTCAATTACATTTCTTTCCATTCATTTCTTCATAAACGTCGTATAACAACATATTAAGGCTACTTCGTTTAGTTAAACTGCCGACAACCGTACACTTCGTGATATCTATGGCAGTGGCCACAGAGGACCCATTCGGTTTAAGGCATCCTAGCTCTTCTTGCAGGCATCACAATGACGATATGCAGTGTCAGCCTGGTATTTCAGGTCACCCAGGAGGTCTTATCAAAGAAAACATTTGCTTACAATCAATCAAAGGAAACGCGGAAGATCAGGCGTGTCACGAACGTAAATGCCGACGAAGACAACGGTAAATGCTCGTCACTTCACATCCAGACGTTATGTTCCATCATGGTCCATGTCACCTATGACAGAATAGGCGTATAGCCTCGAAGAGCCAAAGAAAAACCACCTACCTTGCCGGATGATACGACGTAGCAGATTATTCAGGAAGTGACAGTTATAGGCCATCTCTCATGCGTGAGACGATATCCTGACATTGCTTTATGTTCAGTGCTTTCGCCTCCATCCGTTGCCAATTTTTACTGTTACGTTCCGTTTCTTTCGGGTCTCTTCCGTTAAGTTCCGTTCGTTTCGGCTCCCTTCCGTCACCTTTTGTTCGCTTCGGCTGATTTCCCTCACGTTTCTAACTTCCTCCTACTTTCCATCAAGTTCCATTTGTCCGTTTTCGCCTGCGTTCCTTACGGCTCCTTTCCGTCCCGATCCGTTGCTTTCTGCTATTTTGCGTCATGTTCGATTCGTCTCTTTTTGACTCCGTTCCTTTCGGCTCCCAACCGTTACATTTCGTTTCTTTCAGGTCTCTTCCGCCCCGTTACCGTTTCTTTTCCCCGCTTTCATGTTCCTTTCCGCTCTCATCCCGTTCTATCGGCACCGCATGTGTTCCCTTATGCAACGTTCCCATTCCTTTCCGCGCCCTTCACGTCCTTATCCTCCGCGCCTTTACCGTTGTTTTCGGCATTTTCCGTGTTCTTTTCCGTATGTTTGATGTTCCCTTCCACTCCTTTCCCATTCCCTTCCGCGCCTTTCAAGTTTTTTCCGCACCCTTTACGTTCTCTTGCGCTCCTTTCGCTTCGTTGCCGCTCGTTTTGTTCGTTTCCTTGCCTTTGTATACGGCTCCATTCCTTTGACTTCTAGATGCATTATGAGACCATCTGAGAACACGATCTGCCTCGACATCACAATGTAACTTAATTATTAAAAAATGACTTACAATTCGATGTCGCAGAGCATTCATTAGCGTTAACCGTCGAGATGCTCGCTTGGCGGAAACGATCTCTGCAAGGTGGCAACAACGTGTCCGCTTCGTGCCTTTCATTTTCGGTACTTGAAGGTGTGTCTGCACCGGAACTCAAACGGAGATTGCCTTCTATCGAGCAGTATATATAGAGACGAGTTCCAATGCAAATCACGTGAAAACTGTACTAATTAACATGAAGGTCATGTAGACACTACAAAAACTATGAACTTGTACGTAACGTTCTATGAATTACATAATGAAACTATTTTACATAAAGTTCTAACTCATCGGTAGAATCAAGACAGGGAAGTGGTTGAATATGCATGCAAATATCGCACAAGTGGTACTCTTCATATCTGACAAAACTGTCCTGAAGGTGAATGACGTCCAATGCTTTCAACGAAGTGCAAAGATCGGAGTAATACATCCTCTGGGGAGATCTTACGAGGGACAGAACTGCAGTGAGCAGTCAGGAATACGACTTTCTGCACAAAAAACCGCTATTACCAGTACAATGAATTTACATGTCGACCACGCTAACCATAGATCAGTTAACGCACTTGACTGTTAATCTACGACATGCAAACACCAGTTCGCTACTATCCCGTCCGATCGTAGTTCTTATTCGACTCAGCAATCCAGCGGCACTTTTCCGAATGCACACACCGAATCATTTTGGTACGTATGTATTTGGGCTAACTACAACGAATTTCAGCTTTATAATTCTCCTGTGAACACTGCATTTGAACAACGGACAGTAACTAGAACAAAAAACTCGCTTCCTCCGTTTATATTTACCCATGGATTCCATTTAAACTGCACTGAATCATAAAATTCAAACTGAGTAGCCACTGGTAAAAGACCGATCGAATGCAGATTACATGAGCGTACTGTAGGCACCAACATACAGTGAAGAAAAAGCTATTAACGGCGAAAAAATGAGGGAACTGAAATGAAAGAACTTTGCACTGAATATCACAAAGAATACTTTGAGCTGGAGTGCCAAGGAGGAGCGTCCAAAATTTATAGTACAGAATAAGATAAACGAGAGACGACCTAATAACAATCCAACCGGCAGTATCCTGTGAACACAGCTGTACGAAGGCACGCTTGAACCTGCAAATCATTTGAGTACTTAGATAAAGAAACACTGGAATAGCTACAACAGATTGCAAATTTCTAACTCTCCATGTGAATACTAAATTTCAGTCATGAATGTAAATTTAAACAGCGTAAACGCGCCTCCTGGCTTATCTTAGTTATGCATGGGTTTCATTTAAATACGTCACGTCTCTATGGAGTATCAAGGTCTACAACGAATCAGAACCAAGAACAAAGACTGAACAAGGGCTCGCTCTAGCACTGCAGAATTTTCTACTATTAGTTAGCAGATGCGTGCACAAACCAAGATAAAATAAAATTCTACCCGTCGTTAAATGCTGTATTTCAATGCCGAATTTGAAACCTGCAATTGGCGTGAACGCGAAGAACATTTGAATTGCATTTTATCTTATTTTCATTTCACCTTTAGATTGTACAAAATTTGTTTAAGCATATCCGCCTAAAACCCACCTCAGACATGTGGTGCTGCAAAAAATGCATGGCTGCTAACATAATATTTCACCGTTGAAACATCCACTAAAAAACGGCTAGCTAAATGGACGTTGTTTTCCATTAATGTAATCGTATTATTGCACTTACATCCAATACAAGTACAATATTATTTATTATGACTTAGACAGTACAATAATGTATTACCGTAG